ACAGTATCTTTCTTAGATAAGATTGAACTGCAGTCTACTGTAGACGTACTGCCCAGCGACATCAGACATCTGCCCACTCTCTACCTGTGATATTATACTCTCACCTTTCAAAAATAAAAACAGACACAAAACTTAATGAATGCCCAATGGTAAGTCTCACGAGTACTATAAAAGAATTGTTTGTCAGAGAAATAAAAGGCTGGAATTACAGAGAATTTCAAAGTTTGGAGGAATACTATCCAATCAGTATATACTGGGTTGAGTGTTGATGTTGACGTCTCCTGCACTCTGAAAATTTCGAATTGTTGCCTGAAGACAACGGAAGACCATTTGATATTCATTATTTTACATTTCTGCTTCTTGTGTTCGTTTCGTAAGGTGTTCATTATCCAAACATAAAAATCTTTCATGAAAGTGTTTATCTGATTTGTTCATAGTCTGAAGTGTTCATTAAGCGATCACCAACTTATTTCATCTAGGCAGAATTGAGTCTCTGTTTATAGCATTTTTTTGTAAAGTTTTGGTTTCTGTTGACTGTAATATTTTGCTTTTATATACATAAATTATATTATTTATGATAATATAATTGGTATGTGTAGGCATTTTAAAAGCATAAATTAAGTTAGTAACCTGAAGTTTGACTATGTAATTAATTTTTTGATGTCAATTAGTTATTATACTGGATGGAACTGGCTAATTTTTAATGTTCTGGTACTGTGAAAAATCAATGATTCTATAAATTACATAATTTTTCAAAGTACAGGTAACTCCCATATAACACAGGAGTTATGTTCCAAAAAATTGCTGTGTTATGCGAATCTGTGTTATACGAAACAAAGAACTAGTACGAAAAGGGGGGTTAGGTTCCAAAAATTAAAAAACATGTTGTTAAATCCTTATTTAAATCGGATTTATTATTCATTTTTTTCATAGGTAAAATACTTATTTATTATTTAAGCAAATATTTTACCAGAGGATTATTCATTTTATATGATGATCTCAGCATGAGCATCATCAACTGGTAACAGTTTGTGGGTGCGTTCGTTAATAGCAGTTGCTCTGCAACGGGAGTGCGCTGCTGTTTGTAGGTGTTTAGGAACAACAATGAAAGAAAGATGGCGGCGCCCGCAATATTGATAGTATCATGATGAAGGAATCTATAATTCTAAAATGAGCTTTTAGAGGCAAAAGAAGGGTTCCAATTATAAAATTTAACCATTAAATGGATTATTTGTTGAAAGATCATTCCAAGTAGCCACAAAACAATTAGAATGCTCACGCGGAGTTACACAGAGGTATAAAAGAACACAGAAGTATAAAACTTTATTAAATTTCATGTTGTACAAGGGTTTTACACAATTCCAAAACATGTTAGAGTGAACTCGTGCAATAAAAGCACCGTGTTATATGGGGGATGTTCCCAATTCTTGAACCATGTTAGAGTGAATTCGTGCTATAGAAGTGCTGTGTTATACAGGGGTTATCTGTACATATACTGTATTTACTTTTTCCATTTCTTGTAAATATGCTGTGTATTGTCTTATCATAGGGAAGATTAAGTGAATTGAATGATTACAATAGAAATTCACACTTTACTGCAAAATTTATTATAAAATTTCAGCAACCTTTTTCTCCAATTTTAAGATGCTTATTCATTAGTAGACTCCTAGAAGTAAAATAGAAACGATTACCATCATAAACCTTAAGTTTATTATGGAGTAGCAAATATTTGTATATAATTTAATAATAAAAAATTTTTCAAAATTGTGTTTTTTTTTTCTTCAACTTAATGTATATATACTATGAAAAGATGCCATTTATCATGAGTTTATTTCACCAGTTTCTGATTTGTTTTACCACTGTGATTAAAATATCATTATGTAGTAAAAGTTGCACTACAGCAGAAAGCCTGGTTGGCATTTACCACCACTATTTCAATTTATTGCATTAATATTTGTGCATTATTAAAATTAAGCAAACTAATAGTTGAAAAGTATTCATTGTCCATTAGAAAAATGCCTTTTGAGACTAAGTTGTAGTGAGTTGCTTATTGCCGTCCTCTCTCGATTAACTTTAGATTGGAAGAATTTGGCCAGTTGTTTTGTGGCCGTCAGCCATAATATTGTATATATTTTTACTTTTATTTTAATTTTAGTTTAATACTATGCTTTCCCTTTTTCCTAAATCCTTCCTGGAATCTTTGCTTTGAACCATTATTGCCCTTGAGTGGGATTAGCCATTCTGTGAAGTTTGATAGAACAAAAGAGTTGAGGATGCTTGGGGCAAAATGGCTCACGTAACGGACCCTTTTTGGCAAGATCTCAGAGAGGACGACTGTGTAAGGCAGGGCTCTAGACAGGAGAAGAAAGAAAGAGACTGCGAGGCCAGAGAGATCGAAAGGAGATAACCACAGGCAAGAGAGTCTTGAGGACACATTGAGAGACCCAAACAGTCTCTAGACCTACCAATAGACATGACATTGGTAAAGTTAAATAACAAAACATTAAGTTGGCGTCCTATCCAAGAGTGCACACTGACCAATGAAATGCTGGGTATTTCACTTCATCCCTACTTCCTTCTTTTTATTTTTAATGTATTCTCAATTTCCTTAGAATTTAAGTTAGACGTAAGTTAGCTTTAAGTTGCTCAAAAAATAGTCAAATTAATTGTTACGTGTGGTTACTTTTGATATTGTTATAAAGGACGAAGAATAACCCCATTTGTATATAATATCGTGACCAGATTTGTAAAGTTTGGATCCCTTCTAAGAACCTGTTCAGTGAGAATAAAGGGTACTTTGTGTTAAAATTACTTTTTTTTACTTGTTGTTCTGTGTGAACCAGAGGGGAGGTCAGAGATTGCCCGCCTCTGTCACTAGTCAGGATGATACGTCAGGCGAGTGAAGGGAGAATTTGCTTGGGGTCGACGATAAGGTGAAGGCCGTGATCGAGTAAAGGAGTGTACCATATTTTTAACAAATAAAACAACAATTTATTAAAGTAAGCAAAATGGCAAAAGACTACACAAAGTTCGATTCTCTACCGACCTAAAAACACAAAGTTTTTATACCGACTTAGAGAGTTTCACAGGTATTTCATACCTCTGTATACCTTGACGATTCTGAATGATCCAAGGGTTATAATCCAGTTTCGGCACAAATTATATAAAATCGCGACTTAAGTGTCGATTTAATTCGAGGTTCATCGGAGATCGGAATTCAGCGGGTTTGGAAAATCGGCACGATGTCGTCGGTCCCGCGTTTGGTAATAGACTCCCGCGAGAGGGGGGTAAGAACGGTCTTTTATCGGTTTTAGTGGGGAATTTCCACCACGTGATCGGATGTACATAGGTTAGGAGTTATAGGTGTTCCAGGGATCTACAACAAATGACGACAGTTAGATGCTAACTGTAAACCTTCTTGCAAGATGAGATGCAACTTCTGCAGAGAACAATGGATGTTGCTAGTTATGACCGGAAAGTTTACACAATCCCGGGCAAGATCGTTTTTTCTTCTAGCGCGTTACATAAACGAAAGTTTTTAATTAATTAACATTTTTGTTAATAAAGAGCGATATTTCCGTCACAAAAATTCCGGATCTCACATTCTGTTACGTTCGTGCACCGTACTCTCTCTCTCGTAGCGAACATTACAGTTTTTTGATTAAGAATGTTGGAGAGTTACATTTCTCGATCACAGGACGTATTTGGTATTCTGGTTTGTGCATTTCGGCAAATGAGAATATCCTCTGTTTTTGGAGCCCTGACAGCAGGGCCCACTCTAGGGGCGGGCAACCCGGACATTTGTCTGGGGCACCAAACCCCCACAATGAATTTGGAAGCCTTAAATTTCAGTCCTCTTTATGCTCCAGCCCCTTTGCCAATGCCAGAAACCTTCATACCAGACATTGAATTGATCACTAAGGGTGCGACTATGCAGACACGAATTTAGAGCGAGCGAGAGGTTGCGAGTGATTTAGTTTTCGCAAAGGAAAACCATGCACAAACGAAAAGCGAGAAATAATGCTAGCGGGAGCGAATTTCTGGTTCTCGCACATATCTGACAGGTTTTGATATTTATCGCGTCTCGCCTCTTCTTGCCACATATTCTCGCTCGCTTGGAAAATTTGCTCGCTCGCGTCTGCATAGTTGCAGCCTAAGGGTATGAATGAAACGAGTCAGGATTTTGTTTGTTGGGAAACCAAGTTCCGAATGGCAAAAGAAGTAAAAAAAAAAAACAATGGTTCAAACACATGACAATTTCAGATCATCATAAAGAAATTACGCCAATGGTTACGACAAAATAACATAGTCCTGATGAAGGCTGATAAATTGAAAGGAGTGGTATTGCTAAAACAATCAACCTACAACAAGAAATTACGTGAATATATTATAAGCACCGAATGCCAACCAGCACCTGTCCATTTTTTAGTAACTGTATAGCAGAGTTAAAAGGTTCACCTCCACTTCTTTAGCACAATGCTTACATATGCAAAACTCCATTGTCTGGTCACCAAAAACACCGAGAATATTCGCATTCGCTGAAATGCACAAACCAGGATACCAAATACATCCTGTAATTGAGAAATGTAACTCTCTAACATTCTTAATTGAAAAACAACTGGTCAAATTCTTCCAATCTAAAGCTCATTGCCATCTACTCACTACAACATATAACAACTTAGTCTCAAAGGCATTTCTCTAATGGACAATGAATATACCGTATGACAGTCTTGGACTTTAAATCATTGAAAAATATTTTATCAATTGTAATTGCTAATTCTGAAAGCAAACTTTTGACAAAATAAAGTTACAATTATTTTGATTATTAAATTTTAATTTCTCAGTATAAAATCTCACACAATGGAAATTTAAAAAATTCTTCTTTGCTGTTTTGATATGTACACAAGTGCATATCCATCCCAAATTTTCAAGAAATTTTATATTAGATACTGAGTTGTTAAATTTTATTTTCAAAATATTAAAAATATTTTTATTTACAGGTATTGATATTGTATATTTGAAGTACAAATCAGTTTTCGAGTGAGTTTTTGGCCTTGTGGCTATTTCCATTCCATTTATTGGAGTATATCATGGCATCTATTCATACAGAACCATTAGTAAACTCAACTAACCATAGTCCAGCAAGTCCAGTAATGAAAAGTGCAGCAAATTCAGTTGTGAATCAGAATAATGTGAGGTGAGTATAGAAATATTCAATAATTTTATGTTAGTGAAAAATTCAGTTGTGTTGTTTAACAACACAATAATAGGAAATAATATAAAGATTATTCTCTCATTTTATAATCTAAATTTTTGCCTTAGATATTCTATTTTCTAAAAATATAATTATTTGATGATTGCAAATGATTCAAAATCATATTCAAGATTTATCTTTTGTTTTGTATTACTATATGAAATATAAATGATTAACACTTGCATAAAGTAGATGACTCCATGAGACACTAGATGAAAATGTAATGCTAGAAATAGAAGTTCACATTTTTATTCAGATTTAAACACTTTTCAAGATCAAAATCCATCTAGAATGCATATGTATACACAAACACAAAAAAAAAAGAAGAAAAAACAGAACACACATGATTGAAGTTACTTGTATTGAAGCAAAAAGTAAAAGAAATAACTTAAGATATGTTTTCTTCTGTAAATGATTAAGTGATTCACGCAATTAAGTAAATACTTCTAGCTTTTAAATGTGTAAGAAAAAACTCATTTGAGGTAAATTGTCCTGATCACACAAAACAACAAAAAAAAATGAAAGGTAAAATTTTATAATAGTTTGAATAAGTATACCTGAAAAGAAAATGCTTGTCATATTATTTTGAAGATTTGTTTTTAAGTAAAGTAACAATGTGTGTTTTACATAATCATATAAATTTAACCCCTTAATATCTGCTACTACCCTTTGCTACTAAAAAGACTAAAAGAAAATCAAATCTATTATAAACATAATGTTGTTATGGTTTAACAGTTATTCGTTCTCCATGTTCTGATTCTTATTTTCTGCCAAATAGTGTACAAAACATAAGCAACCAAAGCGTACTCAGCAGAAAATAATAACTTAATCAACACCTAATCACTCGCTGAGAGATTTATTATTAAAACAAACGTTTTCAATCCAATCAATGGATCATCATCAGCTAAATGGAACACTTCAAAAATAAAACAACAAGTTCAAAATACAAAATATAAATATTAATAACCAATAACATATATGCTATTAATAGCCAAATAATGTTTGGCTATTAATAGCATATATAAATAATAAAAATTAATACAAATGCTGATAATACTAAAAATAAAATAATCAAAAATAACAAACAAATTGTGAATACTAAATATTGATATTGCTTACTTGACTATACAGAGTTTTTACTATAATTATTAAAGTTCCTGCTCTTATTTTAAATTTTTAATTGCAAACTTCCAGCGGAAGGAAGTCCCTCTGCATCTCTTGCGTTGATGCAATTTCCTTTAAGTTTGCTTCTATAAATTTCTAACTTATCAGCCATTCTTGCCAAAGTCTGAGAGTGTATCTGTTTCAGGATTTCTGCTTCATCCCATCATACTATTGAACCTTCCATTTGTGACATTTGAGCCAATACTGTGGCATTAGAACCTTTTCTAATATCATATCTGTGCTCTTTTATCCTTAGGCTACAAATTCCGAAAGAGTGCCTCTCGTTAAAATGGAGATTTTACCTTGCATGCCTTAAGAAATCTATTAAGATTGCAAAAAACAAAGTTTGATTCTGAGACACCTCATTGAAATGGAAAATCAAGTGTATGTGGAGAATCCGGATAAGCTTATGGAAATGAACTTAGGAGTTACTAGTCTTACTGATGGCATTTATAACAACTTGAAAAAATGATACATTTAAGAAAATGAGATGGATCATTTATAAACAAGTACCAAAAAGTACTAGGAAGAGTGTTACAACTTACGAAGTATGGGACCAGATTGAAGTACCAAATAGGGTAAAGGAGCTTCTGAACAGCGGCCCGAACTTCATCCCTGAGAATTCTATGATTTGGGAAACATCATTCCAGGAGATTGAAAGAGGAATTGTAGGGTTAGATCCGGTTGACAAAGACTACATACGTTGGAAAGTGGTGTTAAAAAAATAAAGAAGCATGGAAAGGAAGAAGTAATAATAGACATTGCATATGCTAAGGGATGGCTGAAAGAGAATAACTTAGTCGCCGCAAGAGTGGATAAAAGCAAGCAGATCGTTATAATGAAAAAACTTACGTATGATAAAGCTTTGGAAGAATGTATCAGAAAAACAGAATGTATTAAGGGAAATAGTAACATATTTGAAGCAATTGATAGAAGGGTTAAAAAACTGGAGGGAACAAAACTGGCAAAGATCTTACCTTTTTTAGTAAAATGTCGGAACCCTAGACCAGGGACCCCTAGATTATTTGCCTTTGGTAAGACTCATAAAGAAGGCAAGAAAATAAGACCTATTGTGGAAAAACAAAAAACATCCATGCTTTTCCTTGAAAAATGATTACATGAGTATATCTGCTCCAAGATGGAAAGTACAGTGGAACCCCGGTTAACGAACGTAATCCGTTCCACAAGTCCGTTCGTTAACCGAAGCAATTTTTCCCATAGAAATTAATGCAAATACAATTAATCCGTTCTAGCCGTCAGTATTTTTGTAATTTTATTAGTAAAATGGGTTTTCTTTAATGAAAATATAGGAAAACTTACTCATAAACAGTCGATCTACGTTAAATTTTCGGAAAAAGGGAAAGATTTGACGGGTATAAAAAACATCACATACGATCGTTAAAGTTCTAAAATGACAGATAGCAGAAACAATAAGCTAAATTATGAGTGAAAGGCTTGTAGGTTTATCAACAATCTCTGATCAGAGTCGACGAACAGGTGTTAAATAAACACCTCGGAACAAACCTTTCTCGTGACCTGATCTGGTTTCGGTTTTCACCTGGAGACAAAAAAGAAAACAATCGGGAAGCGAGGAATGGGACGCAGGACAAATCGTAAGGTGAGATTCAAGGAAGAAATACTATAAAAACCCCGAATATCAAGGTCAAAACGCAGTTTTCCTAAAAATTCTATGGCGATTAATCTGTGTCGTCTTCGTCTGGATTAAGCCTGAAGTCGTTCCCGCTAAAATTTGTGTTGTGTCTCACGGACCGCTCCAGTCTTGCAGCTCTGTCACCTACCATCGCTTCTGTGACCAAGCGAACCCATCTCGTCCGCTCTGGGGCTACGACTGATCAGCTTGCACTATCGTAGGACCAGCAATACGCCACTCCTCAGTGCCGAGAGAAAATACTGTAGATAAGCCATTTCCAACTACCTCAAATATGTAAGCATCTTCCCGTTCTAATAAACGATTTTCACTATAAAATACTTGTCATCTTTGTCTTCTCCGCCATCACCAACGTACGAATGGACCCTAGACCATCACCGACACACGATTAACTAATTTTCTCTAAAAGTCGGCAAGCTTACAAATTTGACACAAAAAGCCGTTAAGTTCGTTATCCGAATTTTGTTCGTTATCCGAGACAAAATTTTTGCAAAATAATAGTTCGTTAACCGATTTGGTCGTTAACCAGGACGTTCTTTAACTGGGGTTCCACTGTAATGAATTGGTGGCTAAGGATCCTGTAATGGTAGTCAAAGAACTACAAGGAGTTACCTTAGTGGATGAGGAAGTGGGGACTGTTTTAGATTACAAAAATTTGTTCCCTTCTATTAAGATTGAATCTTGTGTAGAAGCACTTTTGGAGTTCTTGAATAGAGTAAACCCTACATTAGCACATCATAGGAATGAGTTGGTAGAGATGGTTAACCTGGTTTGCTGTGAATCCTTCTTTGCTTCCAAAGGTCAAACGTATAAGTAATGTAGGTGGTCCCAATGGGAAGCCCAATTTCAGGGCTACTATGTGAGCTTGTTGTTAGTAGACTAGAAGTTAAAGTTCTGTATAATTTCAAAAGCGATATTATATACTACAAAAGGTATGTTGATGATTATTCATAATATGGAAAAACAATTGAGTAATTGCTAACTTTATGGATAGGATTAACGATAATGAGGAAGGCCTTAGCTTAAAACTAGAGCAAAAAAGCTCTGTTATGGTAAATTTTTTGGACATTAATATTATATTTAGAGAGGGATGTATATCTACCGGGGTATTTATTAAACCAATGCATAGCCCACTATATACACCTGCAAGCTCTAATGATCCTTATAAATGTTACTGTAAATGCTCGAACTATGGTAAATCCTAAGATCTTCCAGTAAAACCTAAGATTTACCAAATCTTTGTGGTAAAAGTCTGAAATGTTCTGCGATCAGCGCTAATTTTGAACTTTTACCAGCATTTACTTGGTATATCTTAGGTTTTACCTCAGAGACATGGTAAATGTTGAAAAAATAGTCACCGCCTTCGCTCGCCACATTTCATCGTTTGACACGTTAGAACACGCACGTTAATTCTAATCTTGTTTGAGATTTCGTTGTCTAAAAGTTATTTATGAATCAAGATGAGTATGAAACGGAGATTTTATGAAATAATGGACGAGCTCGTTGCAAGCAAGAAAGATAATAACTTTTATCTTAATAGGGACAAATACGCAAAGTGTTTGGAGGAAGTAAAAGCTGCAAAGAACATGAAAAAGAAACAAGCTGTTCATTACAGGCGTATAAAGCGTTACGACATTTTGACTATAGGCGGCGAAGAAAAACTAATTGCACCTATGAAGGAGGAGGATGGAGAAATAAGGTATTACATTTGTTACGAGGACTTATTCAATATTCTCGAAGAAACACATGTTGCTGTTGGCCACGGTGGAAGGACACGGATGCTTAAGGAATGTAACCGCAAGTATAAAAATGTAACAGTTGAGGCTACTATGACATATTTGAAGCTATGTCAACCTTGCCAAAAGAAACAGAAGACTTTGAAAAAGGGCATTGTCGTCAGACCTATACTTCACAGTGAAATGAACTCACGCTGTCAGGTTGATCTAATAGATCTACAAACTACCCCAGATGGAAATTATAAATTTATTTTAGTTTACCAAGACCATCTTACCAAATTTGTGATCCTTCGTGCGCTTCAAACTAAACGCGCCGTAGAAGTTGCATACCATCTTTTGGATATTTTCACCACTTTTGGAGCGCCGAGCATCCTTCATTCCGATAATGGTCGAGAATTCTCTAACCAAGTTATTGAGAGTTTATGCTCCATGTGGCCGGATGTAAAAATCGTACATGGAAAGGCAAGACATAGCCAAAGTCAAGGATCAGTGGAGCGTGCTAATCAAGACATAGAAAATATGTTGAGCACGTGGATGGAAACCAATCAGTTATCAAAGTGGTCAGAGGGTTTAAGATTCATCCAGGCAATGAAAAATAGAGCATATCACGAGGGAATCAAATGTTCCCCCTACGAAGCAATGTTTGGTTGTCCAATGAAAATGGGCCTTGCAACTTCAGCAATCCCTAGTGATATGATTAGAGTTATAAGATCTGAAGAAGATTTAGAGAAGTTGTTGCATTCGCATGACAATACGGAACAAAATAATGACGTCGAAAATGCAATCGAACAGGACAAGGAAGAAAGCATTGTTGAAAATGAGTCAGAAGGGGATATAGACAATAGCACTCTCAACGATAAAACACAAGAAGATGAAATGATTATTACTGAGAAAATGAAGGCGAAGCAAATAACCGATGATTCCAATGTAACGATTCAGAGAGATACCGATTCAGAGACAGAAAACATGATTGAGTCTCAGGAAGTTCTTGTAACTATAGAGCCAATACCAAAAAAGATAGAATCTGTAGTGACTATAAGAAACAACGCAAAATTGAATTTGGAAAAACAAGCTGAAAAAATGAAAGCCACGTCTGTTGATAAATATCCAAATGTGAAAATTGGCCAAAATGTAAGACTGAAAGTGCCTGAAATTGACAAAGCTAAAACCGACCCGAAAAGCGTTATTGCAGTTGTAGTAGATGTAAAGGACAACGAGTTTTACCAACTAGGTACCAAAATTGGAGTACTAAAGCAGCTTTATACACAAAATCAATTTACTTCATGCCCTGAAGACTTTATCAAGATAGAAGAAGTTGTTAAAGGTAAAGAAGTGAGTCTTCGAGAAGTTGTCGCAAAATTGTCTTTGACCGGAGGACAAGGTTTCAAGAAGTGCAACTGCTTAAAAAAATGCCTAACGAAGAAGTGCGCTTGCAAGTCATCAGGATTACTTTATAATTCTAAATGCCATGATAGCTCTCCATGTTGTAACAAGTAAAATCCTTTTTTACTTTTATTAAATGAACAATGAATACCAAATGATTAAAAAAAATACTGTGATTACTGATTAGCTTAGCCGGGTAGGCTATTATATTATTTTTTACAAGATAATTTAATTTTTGTTACGTTAAAAAAGTATTTTTAAACTGTTTCACTAGTTATTAATAAATAGGACTTAGTAAGTTTATAATAGTTGCAATAAATGATTATTAAAATGCTCATAGTTTTATTTCCAAAACCAACATTTACTGTCTTTAGTAAAACCTAGTATGTACCAAATTTTAATGGTAAAAGTTCGGAAAATCATCTCACTTTATAAAAATCCTTACATTTACCAACTCATGTTGGTAAATCCGAAGATTTACAAGTAAAACCTAGGATTTACCAGTATACGGGCTTTTACAGTAACATAAATATAAATTAGCAGCATATCAAGCATTGGTTACAAGGTGTTTTTATACTGCTAAAGTATAATATACAGGGATGCAGAAATAGAAAGAATCATGCAGGTAGCAGAAGCATTGGGCTACAAGAGGAATGTTATAAAGGGGATTGTCAATAAATTAGAAGTTGGTACAGATATAGTATCTGTTCAAGGTCCATCTACATACACGAAATTTACGTAAAACAAGCACTTAGGAAGCATTATGAAAGAAATTGCAAATATAAAAGATACAAGGATGGTCTTAAAAAGAATTTGTACAGAATACTTAGAAATGATAAAGGGATGGTTAAGAAAGATATGTCGGGTGTATATAAGATCCCATACGAGAATCAGATTATTAGGAATAAATAAAGAATATGTTGGGGTTCCTACTAGAAACCTAGGTGTAAGGATAAAAGAGCACAGATATGATATTAAAAAAGGTTCTAATGTCCACAGTATTGGCTCAAATGGCACAAACGGAAGGTTCAATAGTATGATGGGATGAAGCAGAAATCCTGAAACAGATACTCTCTGACTTTGGCAAGAATGGCTGAAAAGTTAGAAATTTATAGAAGCGTTGATGCAATTTCCTTTAAGTTTGCAAGGGATGCAGAGGGACTTCCTTCCGCCTGGAAGTTTGCGATTAAAAACTTAAAATAAGAGCAGGAACTTTAATAATAATTGTAGTAAAAACTCTGTATAGTTAATACTAAATATTAATATTGCTTACTTAACAGTTTGTCTATTAAGTTAGAGGCATTAATATTTAGTATTCACAATTTGTTTGTTATTTTTTATTATTTTATTTTTAGTATTAGCAGCATTTGTATTAATTTTATTATTTACAAACATTATTTGGCTATTAATAGCGTATATGTTATCGGTTATTAATCGGTTATATTTTGTATTTTGAACTTGCTCTATTTTTGAAGTGTTCCATTTAGCATGATGATGATCCATTGATTGGATTGAAAACGTTTGTTTTAATAATAAATCTCTCAGCGAGTGATTAGTGTTGATTAAGTTAGTGTACAAAACTTTTTATTTGATTGTATAATGTCAAAATATAAAATCAAAAGGAAATGCCTGTAGTCAGTGGATTTTCACTTCCCTTTTAACAATTATATGTATTATAAACAGTACTAAGATGATTTAATGCCTTTAAAAAATTTATTTACAATTATTAATGACGTCATTGCGTATGGAATAAGTAGGCCTACATATATAACAGGTAGTAGTTATATACTGATAATGTTTTGTATTCTTGTAACTGTGAAAGATGTAAAAAGATTACAACTTTTTCTCTTCAGTTGGAATTTCTTTGTTGTTTAGTTTTTTTTAATGAAACATTTTGTTATTAAATAACAAAATTATAATGGTTATATTGTTAAATAAACATATAACTTGTGCTTTTTATTTTAGAACACACTTTTTTTTCTTTAAGGTTGTCATATCTAACCTTTAATGTAGATTGGTTCAAAGTAATTCAAAAGTAACATTCATACAGGAAATGGGAAGAGGTGTTTTTGGATCCAATTTTTTATTAAGCCTATAATACAGAATAAAAGCTTATTTTCATTATATAGTTTTTGCTTGTTCATAATTTTCTTCCTTCTTTATTTGAAAATCTTATTACTTCTATTATTCTGTTACAAAACTTGATAAAAATCTGTGTGTCTGAATAATAATGAATGATAATGTTAGTTGGACTTAGAGCATAAACAATACCATTTTAATGGGATCTGGAATGCACCATATAAACTGTACATAAGATGACTCGGTTACAGAATCTTGCCATACAAAATTCTGTCTTACTAGTTTCTTACAAAAGGAAAAAAATATATGGGGAAACCAAGCAAAAAAAAGATTTTTCTGGCAGAGTACAAGCAGCAAGTATGTGCGGATCTACAGTACTTGTCTTTGATGTTAGTTCCACCAGTGTTTACAATAAAATAAATTTGTAGTCCAGCTTATGTCCTTTGGTGAATTGAAGTAAGAGTGCCTTGTGTTTTTTGAGTGCAAGTTTACATTTAAGTTTCATGTGCTATATGGGTGAAGGGTTTGGGTACCATTGTATTTTGCATACAGAACAGGGTAGTCTGGTCTCATGCCTGGTTTGGCTTGCAGACATAGATTTATCATGTACCAGTTGTACTGTCTGGCTAATAGTACAGTAGACCCCCCTATAAAACGGGTTCCTATAATTACGATTCCTATAAGACAGCGAAAAAATTGCAACGGTAACGGTAAAAAAAACCTCCTATAATTACGTAAAACGTCATCGGGCAGCCAAACTACTTTCTGCCGTCCTGCCTGGGAGGATGGAATGAAGAGTGCTCTCTGAATAAGCAAAGTAATAGCAGAGTTAACAAAGCTTGAGGGCTGGAAAGCAGTTACAGCTTTTCTTTTCTTTCTTTTCTTAATAACATAAGCAGAGTTACATTAAATTAATCTACGAATATAATAATAGAATTATTACAGAACTGTTCATTCTCTAATTTAGATAGGTTTTTTCCTTCTCATTACTCAGTTAATTCTGATTTTCACAAAATTATTTTAATTTATTGAACTATAAATCAGTAAACTGAAGCTCACATAATATTTTGTGGTCATATAACTTTTTTAAACTAGTTTACTAGTTGTTTCTGGGCTTGTGCCATTCATTTTGTTTGAACTATTTCACTTTTGTTATATATAATGAAATGCTTTCACTCTTCTAAGGCATATGGAGATGATTATGTATATAATCAATATAATCATATTTTTTAAATTAAATTATTTTAATTATAGTTTTTATCAATNGCTGTTCCGCGACGAAAACAAGCTTGAGCAACGGCGATGTCGAATGGTGAACACTCGGTAAGTAATCCTACAATTTTTTGTTTATAGCGTAGTTTATACGGATTATTTCCAAAAAAAAATATACGTATTTTGGAAATGTTGAGTCGGATTAGTGTAGAATCGATTAATTTTATGGAAGAAAGCCTTTCAAACAGCCATAGTCCGTAAACTTGACACATGTTGGGCTGTGATTGGAAGGACTCGTATGAAATCGGATTCCTAAAGAATGAAATGTATCTACTGTCTTATAGGGGGGGTTGACTGTACTAACAAGTACAAACAATCTCCAGGGCCGATTGCAGAGACCATGTTTAGATGCTGATGAATGTTTAGAGATCATCTAGATCGCAGTTCAGAAAAATTAGATTGCAGAGACAGTGATTCTTGTTTGCCACAGTTTAGACAGCATTTGGAGACAAGTAATTTGATCTATTTTCTAGGCTCACTTGGCAGTGGGTTTAGATGGTGTTTTAATTCGAATGGAAGTTTTATTTGTGGAAAAATGTAGATAAAAATGGATATCGTTCATTTGATAAATGTCGTAAACGGTACAAATTGACAAAATTATTAATTAATTGCTTGGATAGAAAATATAATTAAATACTTCAAATTTGTTTTTAAATGTTTCAGTTCTGGTATTCAAAGAGGGAGACTTAAAACTACAATTAATTTAAATCAGATTCATTTACTTAAGTTAAAATTATCATGTCAATTATAAAACGTTAATGCATTTCAGGATTGTTATTGTTAATTCCCTGGTCAGAACATTGTTAAACAAGACAATTTTAATAATTACTGAAACCTTTTTTTATAGAAATAAAAAAAAATGTAATAATAATAAAATATTTGAAATTATTAATCAGTACAATTACAAAGGTAAAGAGTAATACAATGTTGGAATAATTTCTTAATATATTCTGAAGATGAATTTTGAATTAGATACAAATAAATTCAGATTTAGAAAATTTATATTTTAAATCATATTTGTGATGAAATTAAATATGAAAATGGAAAAGGATTGTCATTAACTGCGAAACAATGGTTGTTGATAGACTTGATTTTTGTTCTGGAACCTTTCAGAATATAGCTGGTGATCTTATTGGAGTTTTTTCTGATATTACAAATGAATAACCCAATTGGCTGAATGACTCCTAAAACAGTGGAGTAATGGCAAAGAAAGTAAGAGCCAGTGTATTCCTAATATGGAGTCTGTTTAATGCATATGTTGTCATCAGGATGTGTTACAAAATGAAAAATCCCATCTCTTTGAATGTGTAAGTCATAAGTAGACATATGACTCCATCGTAATAGTTAGCATAGGCCTAAACATTCATTAAAAAAATATTTTAAAAATTACTGAATGTCTGTCATGTTGTCATGTACTATTCATATAATGGCTCAAATTTAACCTTATAATTTAATTTACAGAACAAATAGTTTTTTTTAATATCAAACTGATTTTCAAGGTCGGTCAAGATCACCAAAAATTGTCCATCTGCTCTATAAACTTGACTGTTAGTCCAATCTTCTTATCTCCAGTATTTTTTTTTTCTTCTTGGAAACCATTAAACACCACCAGTGAATTACCCTGCATGTCATGTAAACTAAAGTAATTTGTCCATGTATATTGTTTGAATTGGTATTAAATATTTTATTATAATGATTGAATTAATTTTATATGAGAAGTCAAATAAGAGTATAGTTTTAATCAGTATCATTAATCTGAAGACAATTCTTAACTATTTTTTATTAATAAAATTCTCATTTACATGATCCTTTCAAATCTTCATAAGCTAAAAATGTTACCACATGTAGTGTTTCAGTTTTGCATATTTTTGGGATTTAATACATTGATAACTCAATCCCTAAATGAATTTTCATCTCAAATAACATTTTGAAGAAACATTATATTGTATTTTGTGTTGGGGTGGTCAGGATAATTAATAAATTGATTTTTATTGCCATAGTGAGGATACCACATTTTATAGTTTTGGTGCCTTAGCAGCTTTTTCTGGACTTGGAGATTGGAATAGCTAGTAAAATGATATGATGTCAGTTTTTTAAGTATAAATTCTGTAGTTTAGATACGGTATTTCGGTGCAGCTACAAACTTGGATGGAAACAAGTACAAAAGAAAGTACTTGATGCTCGATAGATGTGATATTGTCAAAAATGTTTGTTTCAAACTTAGAAACTGCAGTGAAGAAGACACACTAAACCCTGAACAGGAAACAAATATTCTTGATTACTTTCAAAAGACAAGTTAACAGTTTGTGTAAAACATGTCTAGATGTGCTGATTTGTTTATATTTTATGAAATGAAAGCCTTTTTGAAATTTCATGAAATGCTTTATCCATTCTGAATACACATACACATGTATTTGTATGTTCTAGCATGTTTTTACATATGTTTGGATTTTGCATATTCACTGATTTTGTGTATTTTTTCACCAGTTACTTAAAAAACAGTTCTATGAGGGCTATTTTTTAAATGTCTGTCTGTGAATGAGAACAGCAGATTTCTTTGAAGTTGGAAATAAAATTGTTGAGTGGTATGACAAATGTTTGAACAAAAATGGAAATTATGTAGAAAAATAGATGAAAGTATGTAGAATATAAGAAAAAATATATTTTAATGACATTTTACAGTATTATTTTTCTTATTAAAAAGTACCCTTCCTATATGGTTTAGTATAAAAGAATATTTTTCTTAAAAGTTAAATTTATTATTCACAAGTAATGACTTTTATTTTAGAAAAGTGGTTTAAATATTTTGAGGGATTGTACATTTTGTCTCCAGTTTATATTACTATCTTAAACCAAAGATCTACCTGCCAGTATTTATTGTTTATAATGGTTTTATAATAACTTATTATTAATTTTTTAATTATTAAATGAGAAAAACCTAATATATGAAGATTTGTTAAATTGAAATGATGCAAAATATTTTATGAATATTTATTTAAAATTTTTTAGAGATGTTATTAGTGATGATATGGGTAGGAAAGCCAAACTGAAAATCCCACCTCAAGATAAAAGAAAGAAAACAACAGTAAGTATTTTAAATTTTTCTTAAAGAATTTTATACACTTATTACATATTATGTAATGAAAATTGTTTTGTTTTTCTTAATTAAAAATATATTTTAGCATTAATTTCTCCTAATAATGATAAATGCTTCTTCAAAACTTCTAGAAGAAATATACTTATTCTTTCAATAAATAGTAGAAAAAAGTGTGTGGAAATTTTTCAAAAAGTAATTCCATTTTAATACAGAATTATCATGCCACTATAAATGTTGAGAGTTTAGTTTGAGTTTTTAAAATTATTCACTAAAAGTTGTAACTAAAGAAATCTACAGATAACTGAATAACTAACTATATATGGCATATTTTTAAATTCAGATGAAGTAATCTGATCATATCTAGTCATTTGATTTGTTTCAGTTTATACTTCTATGATAAATAGAAGCTATTAAAAGCTAAGTTTAATAAATAAAAGTAAGTGTTCTCTAAAATTGAATTCTTTTGAAATATTGATGTTGTTATATCAAGAAAGATGATAAAGGGGGGAAAAATTGGTCTTCCAGAAATGGTAACACAAAAAGAGATTTAAAAATTATTATACTTTTCTCTGAATAATATGCTGAAATTAGGAGAACATAAAATAGAAATTTATTCAGTAACATATAATTTATAAATAAGTTTTTCTTGGGAAACTTATGTATGTATTTTTTTAGAAGTTGCTTTTTAGAGCAGTTTTTCTTGCATGCTATATTTGTTCTGTCAATTTTTTAGCAGTTTGTGTTTTTAATAAAATTAATATATTAAATATTAAGAAAAATTTATTTTAGTTTTTAAAATTTTGGCTAGATTTTTAATTTATATATTCATTGTAAATTTAACTCTTAAAATGAGATGTGAACAAATAGAGCCTGTTTAAGCTATTGATAATTTATTTATATGAATGAAAAATTACAAAGTGATAGAAATAGAAAGATCAATGCTTAAGGATGCAAGAATACACTTACAAGTTAGAAGTACATAAGTGTTCTACTGCTTGAGGACACTTATTGGATATTGTATGCAAAAAAGCTATTTTTACTACTCCTTTAATGAATTGAAATTACTAAGCCTTTGGATCTTTGCTGCTTTAGCATTTTCTTTTGTTTGAACAAATGAATTACATGACGACAATCAGAATTTTAAGCTGGATGACCAAGAACCTTTTTGTTTGGTAACACACTGAACAATTTTACCAATACAATGTGGTTGGCTACTGTAATGAAGAAAAATTAGTGTGAACAGCTTCTGGGTCACTTATTCCATATGGCTTTATACAGGTTGTCAGATGTCTGCATGTAGTGCAGGACGTGATTTTAACCTCCAGGTTCTGTAAACTCTAGAAACAAAGGTCATGGTCATAATCAAATTGGTAAGTATTATCTTACTGGTAAGTTTGTCTTTAGCATTCTGAATTTAGTGTTCTGGGTTGCTTCCATTGTATACTCTTGCTAGACAGTTCAAAATAGTGACATCAAGTTTCATGACTAGTTGCTATTTGCAGAAGAAAATCCTTACCCTTTGATTGACAATGCATTAAGGATTCCAAACTTGAACCCCCATGTGTTGTTCATTATGGTCCTTATATCTGCATCTGAAGTAGCCATTGGAAACACACTTTCCTATACTTCATATTTCTAATAAAATTTTTGTACTATACCAAAAGATATGTTGAATTCATTTGTTAATGAAAACTTTTGACAGTTTGGTTCTGATAGTTCAGTTGTGACTTTTGACAGTTTATTAATATTGGTGTTGGCTTTGTTTATTGCAACAATGTGTGCTTGACATGTATGTAGCAAGTCTTGATTTTCTTGTATCCTTTTCAAAACATTTGTGCCCAATTAGTAATTGTTTTTGACACACACAATCACAGTAAACAGAACACATTGAAGGGTATCAAGTGACTGACACCCTTTCACTGTTAAAAATAGAATCACTGTTTTTCTGGTGAACTTTGACATATTCTTAATAACTACGGCCATGCTTACAGGCATCTGAAACCTACCTAAATACTGGATGATGTAACCAACTCATTCTCAATTGTACTATGCAATACAGCTAGATCACATTTCACTTGACATAAGACAAACTGGTTTCATTTGCTTACCTCAATCAATGTCTTTACTAGCTTTTTTGTTATAAATGATGCTTTAATTTTTGCATGGTAGAATAGAAATGACTAATAAATGTGTGTGTACACACATTAACTGTTCTGGTTCTTTTCCTGTTCATTTCACAAATCATGTAAATGTTTTATCTATCTTTATTTAAATTTTTCAGATTGATTTAATATTTCATAAATTTTAGATTGGGCTTTTCTAGATTGATTTTAAATTGCATAAAAATATTAGTCAGAATATGCTGGTTATGAATTATATGATTTTTAGTTAGTATATAGATATTCATGTTTATTTTCATGACCAAGAATATCTAAATATTTACTTTTTTCATACATTTTTATTTTTTGTAATTTATTAGTTTTCTAAAAATTAATTTATTTACATTTACTAATTTATTTAAATTTATTTTTTTCTGAATTAGTAATTAAATATAAATTTAATAATTTAGTACTTTGTATTTGGTTTAATATATTTTGATCAGCATTGATATTTTATTCTATAGGAAAATGAAAGAATTAGGTAATTGTCTTTTAGTCTTAAAAATTGACTTAAACTAATTACTGCATTTGAAAAATATGGTTTAGTTGCTTATTTTTGTTTTAATGAGTTTATTCTGGATTGGTGGTGATAAAAATTTCTTAAGGATATACAAACTTGTATTTTGCAAGTGTTATAAAAAAAATTATTTATCATGAAAAATATCATTTCAGAGGATAATTCCAGCAAAATTTGTTTTTGGTTTTACTATAAATCAATATTCTATTTTTATTGTTATTGCCTAATCAGTGTTGGCTATGTTTTTATAATTTGTTCCATGCAGTGAAGAATAATTCTAATACTTTGAATGGATAATTTTAAAACTTGATTAGTTGATTTTTTTTTCATTCAGATATTTTAGTAAGTGCATATTTGTGAAATTATTAGTATGCTTTTTAATGTAAGTTGAGGAGCAAAATTGAGTTTTCTAATATTTTGACAAATTTTTATAAAATTGTGTTTGTATATATATAATTTAATATTATATAAATACTGCACCTATAAATGGACTATGCGTGTGTCCATTTATAGATGTAGTATTTATTAAGTTTTGTTTTTCTTTTATATTTTGACCAGGTTGTGGAGTCTGTACACAAAAGCTTTGACAGTGACTCCAATTCCTGTACGGTGGAACCTCGCTTAACGAGCAAAGTTTCGCATAACGAGTGACAAGGAGAGGGAGGGGAAGTCCCAGATTGTGTGCATGCTTCATCATGCTATTATCTGTGATATTTTTTTTTTCTTTCTTTGTTTTCTTGCAAATCAAATAAATTCACATTCCAGGTTGGTTCATTTCGTGCTAGGAGAAATGATGATGGTGATTCACGTCCCTTAACAATGTATATTGTATAATTTTCTTAGAATAAACACTATACATAAAATACCATATTTTACTCGCGTATAAGACGATCTCTCATATAGGACGAGGTGTGACTTTAAAGATAAAAATAAAGAAAATTAGATTTATTAATACAATTCTAATTTTATTTTGTTTAATCACAAAATAAATTATCATCAAATGCATGTATTAAGGCAAACAACCATGTTTTCTTGATGCTATCACCTTTTGTCTACTTGAACTTATACTCTGAAGCTTTGTTACAATTCTTGCCTTTTTCACTCTTACTCTACAAAGCATTGTCCTCTGATCTGTCAAGTAAATTTAAAATGCAGTATTTCCAGAGTGACTGCTGTCAGTTTTTGTAGATTGCTTTTCTACACACCTGATACCCATATAGCAAAACCAAGAGATTATAATGCACATGACAGGAAAAAATTTATTTTTAATGATTCAGAATGTACATATATTCTATATACATCCAACACACCTTATTGCTGAGAAACATATATTTATTACACAAAACTAACGTTTTCAGCCCAATTTATGGGCCATCTTCAGGTTACCGTTGTTCGACTCTAATATAACATCGAACATGTTCAAAATTAAACCAAATTAGAACATACGTTTAAATTAAACTAATAGAATAAGCATAACCAAAATAAAACAATAAATAATAAAAAACCAAAATAACACACAAAAAAGTGAAAATAAAATACGGTGATTGGCCGCAAACACTAAGGAACAATTCCTTATACATTAACCCAGATATCTATTGAGTCACGGCAGACGCATTATTACGCATGTTACTTCTTATGTATTTCCAGTAACCTGAAGATGGCCCATAAATTGGGCCGAAAACGTTAGTTTTGTGTAATAAATATATGTTTCTCAGCAATAAGGTGTGTTGGATGTATATAGTATATTGCTTAAGAGGCTGAGTCTGAGTAAGTGGTACATATATTCATTAAAAATACCAATTTAACAAATATGAAATAACTACATTCATTGCTAAGTGACCAGCTATTTTCAGATCATCTCTAAAAACGACATTCACCTTGACCTCAATAGCACACTGCTATAATGGCAGCATGAACTATACATGGTTCACAAAAATTATTGCAAAAACTTAAAGGATCCTTTGCTCATGCGTATAGGATGACCTAGGTTTTGAAGCAGTAAAAAATGAATAAAAACCTCATCTTATATGCAAGTAAATATGGTATTTGAGTATTTTTTTTTTTTGCATGGAATGCATTATCATATTTTACATTAATTTCTATGGGAAAAATTGTTTCACTTAATGAGTGCTATTCATTAAGAGTAAGGTTCTGGAATGAATTATGCTCGCTAAGCAAGGTTCCACTGTATTTATATATTAATACGGAAATTAAATAATAAATATAATAGCTATATACTACTTATGTTGACTGAAAGAATGCAACAAACAAGGCATTCCATCACTGCTAACATCAGACTACTTTTTAGAACCATAATCTGTTAATGTAAAGGCTAAAACTATGCCTTTTATCACATTTATTTTCTCAAAAACTGGTTGTATGTAATGAAAATACACACAAATATACCTGAAACCAGCAAAAGGAATAAAATTATTTAATGATAGTTTTATCTGTTTCTAATGAACATTATCCTATGGCCTTTTTTTTTTCCTTATAATTTATATATGCTGTTCTTGCATTTTAGGCTTAGATGGAGTCATTTGAGAGTGGTGGTGACAAACTTACATTATTTAACAATCAAAATTTGCATTTATTCAGGAAAACATTAGATTCCTTAAAATATAGTTGTTTGAAAGAATAGCTAAAAAAATTGTGATTCACCGTTGGTATTCCCAGATGACATCCTGCTAGAACATGGGTGACGGGTATCTCTGCAGATCCAAGTTCCAACTGGTCTCTCTCTTAATATGGATGTCTAGGTAGAGACAGTGGTCATAGCACACTGATCTTTACAGCTGGTCTTTCTGTCGGAGTTGGTGCTTATGCTGGAAGATGTTGGAAAAGACCACATTTCTTCTGGCTTTGTTTACAACTGGGATGTAACTCATGACCTTGAGAACATGAGTTATGTGGATTTATATTTCCCCAATTCCTAAATTTTTTATAAGATTCTTTTCCAAAATTTAGGTTCTGATTGATCACAATTTGCTTGTTCCTTCCCGATTAGTTCCTGCTTTGATTCTAGGTTACATAGTAGACAGACAATTCCTCCATCCTGATATGGGCCAACTCTCCTTAAAGTGTTCAATTACACTTTCTCAAATGATAGCCCATAAATTAGAGAATATGGTGCTTCTCTTTCCTTTCAGAGAAGCAGCAGCTGTGTCCACAAGATTCCCAGCTACACCTCTCTGAGAAAGTACTTGATCTTTCACTTCTGACCACATATATAATTATGTGGCAAGTAAAGTTTTATATCAATATCATTTTTCTTTCATTGCATAAATGTCAAACAGGAAACAAGTTTTATAACACTGAATTCCCTTCACCATCAGAAACCTCAATCAAAGGATGTGTATCACCTGAATTAAAATTTTTATTTTAGTTAATTCCACTGCAACATTTAGTGTGGTCTGGATCTTACACTATAAAAGAAAATCGGGAACATCTTTTTGTATCAGTTCTCTTTTTAAGACTAAAGAATTGTTGAATATAAAATATGACCTGAAAACATAGGTTAATCAAATTACTTCAGAAGTAATTTATTTAATTAATTTAAATGTTAAAATAAGATTTTAACATTGTTTTTACTAATTCCAAAATAACTGGATAGAACAATATAATTTTTAAGAATAACCCAAAATCCAGCATAAAGTAACTTACTTGAATAAGATTATTGAAAATGTTTATTATTATTTACTTTGTGCTGGCTGACTTTTGGGTTAGTGTTATAATTGTTAAACCTCTAAAAAAAATTTTTTTATTCCAAATGCAAAAATAATTACTGTATAAACATTTGTATGAAATATGTTACTGTAATTGAATAACAGTGACTATGGTGAAAGAAGATTAAAAAAAAATACATAAAATGAAATCATAAATGAAAATGAGAGAATATACCGTAGTTAAATTACAAAGTTTTTTCACAGCTAAATCTATACATAAAAACAGTGTTTTTTTTCTTATTGTTCTTGTTAGTTTTTATTGTCCAAGTCAAGTGTTTCTTAGTCTGGAAATTCATATTTCATTAAAATACAGTACCGTAACAATCTGCCAGAATTCTAATTTCAAAATTGGATCAAAGTGAAGTTAATAAAATTATACCACAATTTCTATTAATGTGGCAATACTGGATCTGTTACATGCTTTTTAAAGAGTTTCTGGCAAGGAATGGTATATACTCTCCCTGTTATGGCAAATATACATATGGTTGTGTTCAATTCTAGATGGTTCATTGAAATTAGTGGTAGGATTAACCTATTTTAATTATATGAAATAAACATTAGCTTTTCTGGATATTTGGTTGAATTTAATATGACTAAGAATTGCTGCTAGGCTTGCATTGGAATAACAACTGAGTTCTATAAAATTTTTATGCATTGACCTATTATTAAAGGCTTTTTTCAATACAGTGGGTGATTGGTTAATGAACATAATCTGTTCCAAGACTTTGTTCGTTAACCGATTATCAATTTACCATAGGTTTTTATGGGAATTTGATTAACTTGTTTTGGAGACTTCAAAAATTAAAAATACAGTGAAAACTGCTTAGGCGACCACCTGCATTGGACGGGCACCTGTCAAAACGGGCAAAAATTTCTGGCACGGAATTTTCAATTTACATAATAAGTTACCTGTATTAAACGACCACCTGTCTAAAAGACCACTTTTTGAAGGAACCGTGGGTGGTCGCCATAGACAGGTTTTACTGTATATAGTTAATATCACGGCTGTGGAGTCGCGTAAAAATCTACCGACTGCAACTCCGACTCTTCCTTACCATCCGACTCCGACTCCGTTTCATATACATAACAAGTTGGTAAGTAAAAGGGGGTCGGAGTCGGCGGATTTTTTGACGATTTAGATGGAAAACAGCATTTAAAATAACGACTACACAAGAACAAGGCGCAACCCAATATGGAAAGATATAAGAAAAAGCAGAAAATGGATGAATGAAAATAATATAGTGCTTACAAGAGCCAACAATCGAAGGACATGGTGTTAATAAAAAGATCCACATATAACGCGGTCTTAATAAGATACAGTACATAAAAGAAAAGCAATACAAGACAGCCCACCCACGTGCTTTGGAACGTTTACATACAGCGTGTTTCTAGCACAATCCTTGCAAAAGAATTCGGAATGAAGAAAGTAGTGGTCGGTTTATGTGTCTTGGCGAACTCCGACTGTTCGAGTTCGTCAAGACACATAAACCAGAAAGAAGTACAAGACCAGTGGTTGATAAATGCTATTCACGTACGATAATCCTAGAACGTTTACTCGAAGGCTTTATTAATGCACACATGCCACTACACGAATACAGCATAAAACCTCTAGAATTGCTCCAGAAAACGAATATGAAAAATCAAAAGAGGAAGATATATGACGNTTTATTTAATTAATTTAAATGTTAAAATAAGATTTTAACATTGTTTTTACTAATTCCAAAATAACTGGATAGAACAATATAATTTTTAAGAATAACCCAAAATCCAGCATAAAGTAACTTACTTGAATAAGATTATTGAAAATGTTTATTATTATTTACTTTGTGCTGGCTGACTTTTGGGTTAGTGTTATAATTGTTAAACCTCTAAAAAAAATTTTTTTATTCCAAATGCAAAAATAATTACTGTATAAACATTTGTATGAAATATGTTACTGTAATTGAATAACAGTGACTATGGTGAAAGAAGATTAAAAAAAAATACATAAAATGAAATCATAAATGAAAATGAGAGAATATACCGTAGTTAAATTACAAAGTTTTTTCACAGCTAAATCTATACATAAAAACAGTGTTTTTTTTCTTATTGTTCTTGTTAGTTTTTATTGTCCAAGTCAAGTGTTTCTTAGTCTGGAAATTCATATTTCATTAAAATACAGTACCGTAACAATCTGCCAGAATTCTAATTTCAAAATTGGATCAAAGTGAAGTTAATAAAATTATACCACAATTTCTATTAATGTGGCAATACTGGATCTGTTACATGCTTTTTAAAGAGTTTCTGGCAAGGAATGGTATATACTCTCCCTGTTATGGCAAATATACATATGGTTGTGTTCAATTCTAGATGGTTCATTGAAATTAGTGGTAGGATTAACCTATTTTAATTATATGAAATAAACATTAGCTTTTCTGGATATTTGGTTGAATTTAATATGACTAAGAATTGCTGCTAGGCTTGCATTGGAATAACAACTGAGTTCTATAAAATTTTTATGCACGGGNTAGATGGTTCATTGAAATTAGTGGTAGGATTAACCTATTTTAATTATATGAAATAAACATTAGCTTTTCTGGATATTTGGTTGAATTTAATATGACTAAGAATTGCTGCTAGGCTTGCATTGGAATAACAACTGAGTTCTATAAAATTTTTATGCATTGACCTATTATTAAAGGCTTTTTTCAATACAGTGGGTGATTGGTTAATGAACATAATCTGTTCCAAGACTTTGTTCGTTAACCGATTATCAATTTACCATAGGTTTTTATGGGAATTTGATTAACTTGTTTTGGAGACTTCAAAAATTAAAAATACAGTGAAAACTGCTTAGGCGACCACCTGCATTGGACGGGCACCTGTCAAAACGGGCAAAAATTTCTGGCACGGAATTTTCAATTTACATAATAAGTTACCTGTATTAAACGACCACCTGTCTAAAAGACCACTTTTTGAAGGAACCGTGGGTGGTCGCCATAGACAGGTTTTACTGTATATACTTTCTTACTATGTTTATTTATATGTAATAATAAAATTACGTGTATACTTTTATATCTTCTTTTTTTTTTTGTTTTTGTTTTCGACACTGTTTTACATAAACATGCAGTTAATTAACAGTTAACTTTATTCACTCTCGGATACAAAAAAATAATTAACTTATCGCACTACACCTTTATTTTGCGTAGATAGTTTTATTGAAAAACTAACATTTTTAGCCTACTCTATAGGCCATCCTCAGGCTTAATGATAGAAAAAAGAACATTGGCGTTCCATTAAATAGAATACATTAATTTAAATACAAAAAAATAATAACGAAAAAAAAAGGAAAAATAACTGAAAAAATAATTCCTTTTTCAGTTATTTTTATGGCCTATAGAGTAGGCCGAAAAAGGTTAGTTTTTCAATAAAACTATCTCAGCAAAATAAAGCTGTTTAATATCATAGAAGTTTACAAATCCAAAAAATGCTTGTAACTCTTGTTTGTTTCTCGGGCCCTGTTGGATTGCCGCAATTTTATTCGGTGTGGGTTGAATGCCCTGAGCATCTATCAAATATCCTAAAAATTTAAGTTGGTTTGTCTTGAATAGGCATTTGCTTTTGTTCAGTTTTAGTCCAGCTTCTGAAATCCGGTTAAAAATTTTCCTCAACTTTTGATGTAGGGCTTCTTCATTGAGTTCCATGACAAGTATATCATCTATCATCACAGTTGTCCCTGGAATACCTCTTACGATCTTTTCCATCTCTCTCTGGCAAATAGCTGGACAACTACTCACTCCAAATGGCAATCTTTTCATCTATACTAATATTATAAAGAGGTAATGTTTGTAAGTATGTATGCAGCAGGTAATCTCCGAAACTACTCATCCGATTTCAAAAATTCTTTCACCAATATTTATGTCCACTTCGGGGTGGACATAGGCTGTATATTATTCCGTTAAAACATTCATATAAATTAAAAGATATAATCTAGGTTAAGGCTTTTATGTCCAAGAGATGGTGCTACGAGTATGGCACCCTAAGTTTGCTTTTCTGTGAGGCATTACGCTTTTCTATGAAAATGAACTAAAGCAGATCATCTATTTATATAAATAAAAATGTAATGTTCGTTTGTTCCTACTGATTCCTTTGAAATTTTGACACAATGCTGCATTTGAATACACACGTGTTTTTATATAATATACATGTCCAAATTCAACCCCACTGAAGGGAGATGGTTAGGATTAAGGCTTACGGTAAAGAACTCTGCTTCTATTTATACTATTTTAGATGCGGGTTTTTGCGTTTTTGATTGCGTTTTAATAGGATACGTCAACAGAATGTACATTAAGAAGAAATTTTTCGAAAAATTCCCCCTACGGGGGAAGTGTTATAAATTTATAATAGATACATTTTGAGCCACAACAACACGTGGCGGGGTCTGCTAATTCTATATAAACCCTTGCATGTGTTGATAATCAGTATCTCAGACGACTCCTGGTCCACAGGATTTTGGAAGTACGCTTCCTTGAAATCCAGCTTGGCAAATACCTTTCCACCAGATAATGAAGCAAGTATATTGTTAATGGCCAGCAATGGATATACATCTACTTTTATTGCCTCTCTGTTTACAATGCAGCGGTAATCTCCACATAAATGTACACTTTCATCTGGTTTTGCAACGGGTACCACAGGAGTGGCCCACTTAGAAGTTCTAACTGGTTCTATAACTCCTAACTGATGAAGTCGATTCAACTCTTGTTCTACCTTTGTTCTCCATGCAAAAGGAACCTGTCTTGCCCACATAAAAATAGGCTTAGCTTCTTTATCACTAAACTGACTGCCTCGCCTCTAAATAGACCCATTTCTGAATTATTGAATAAATGCTGTAGTCCGCCTTTAAGTTATGCACTTGGCTGTTGTTTCCGTCTGACCCAAGCTGGCTAACATCTTTAGATGCTGCCTCTGCTACTAATGCTGCATCCAAAATGACTTTATAAGTAGTGTCTGTTTTTGCCAATAACACATGTTGTATTCCTTTATCCCTTAAACCAGCCACTAGCCTATCTCTTAACATACACTCTAGTGAGGCGCCAAAGTTGCAATTCATTGCAATTTTCCGTAGTTCTGTGACATAGTTGTTGATACTCTCTCCTGGTTTTTGCAACCTCTGGTTAAATTTGAACAATTTGACAATTTCACTAGGTTTTGGGTTAAAATGGCTATCAAGAGCATTAAGTACTTCATTGAAGTTAACTTGTGTAGTTTCTTTCGGGGCTATGAGTGTTACTACAAGTTCATATACAGTTTCACCACACACAGTAAAAAAATAAAGCACACTTATCTTGGTCATTTTCAATCTGGTTTGCCTTCAAGCAAAAATTAAAGCGGTCCTTGTAAGTTTTCCAATGGCTGTCCATCTTGTGTGGTTCGAAACAAACTGCACTGGTTGATGTTCCTGGGATCGACATTTCTGGCTTTTGATCTTGAATTGTAATTTCCTCTACTCTATCCCATCCTCATTGCCAATTTTATATCAATTTTATTTTCGACACTGTTTCACATAAAAGCACGTAGTTAATTAACAATTAACTTTATTCACTTTCGGATACAACTGACTGGGATGACAACTAGACACACAGTTACCCAGACATTCGAAAAGTATGTAGGAATTTCCACTTTTGACCTGACACTCAGATTAAGTTACAACATATACACAGTCTTCCAGTTTTATTAGTCACGTTTTTTTCGTTTGTGGGAGTTGAAGAATCTGCCCAATGTCGATTGCCTCTCTCTCTTCAGGATTTTTTTGGAAGTAATTGCATTGTAATTGCAGAGACCCCAAGCCTATTAACCTCATTCTGGTTTGGATGCCATTTGGATACCCATTGTTCTGAGATCCTCTCACTTCTTTAAAAGATCTTTGAGACTTTTTGTTATATCTTTCATAGCTAAGATTGTGTTTACTGTAGACCTGTTCAAGCCATATTGCCTAGCAACATCAGACATCTGCTCAATCTCTATCTTGGCTATTAAATAACTCTTGCTTGGTTTCTACAGCGAGCACAGTTCTTGACATGTTACTCTTTCTTTTTTTAAATAATAAGTTCAGAAAAGCACTTACAAAAATTTAGAGAACAGAAATCAACTAGTGCAAATCACGCCTAAATTCAAACTTTCCAGCAAATAAAAGTAAAAAATATAAAGATCGAACATTTTCAGCCACTAAACTCAACTAGTGCACAAAAATTATTTATATGCAAGACCCAGATGAAATTCAAAATTTGGTATTAAAATGTTAATGAATATACAATGTGACAGTTAAATTCTCGCCTTTTGTAAATAAAAACTGACACAGAACTTAAAGTTCTCACCTGACAGTCTCATGAAGACTATAAAAAATTATTTGTCAGAAAGGTAAACAAAAGGCTGGAATTACAAGGGGGAGTTTCAAAATTTGGAGGAATACTATTCCATTGGTATAAGGTTGAGTTTTCAGCCTGTCCTATTAATAGAACAATTGAAAATAACTGTTCTATTTATAGGACAGGCTGAAAACGTTCAAATGTTGAATTTCAGAGTTTTGCTGGAAATTTGACATATAGGTGAGAGTTTATAATTTTTCCAAAAAAAATATCACATGAAGATAGTCATTGTGATTATTCTAAGCAATCAAAAACAATTTAATATTGTAATGAAATGCAACGTATTAATCCAGTTTTTATATAATGGTTAGGATGTACTGTATATATATCAGCATTGGTGATTCAGTTTTGTTTTAAAAATTGTTACAATATCATTATTTTTTTGAATTTTAACGTTTCTTAATTGAGAAACAGCAAAATGCTTAACTTTTCTTAATTTAAATTCATTTACTTGACATAATATATTTGTTTAAATTTTTCTTGAAATTGAAAAGCCTCTAGGTTTAGCAGAGATTATTTTGTAGATTATTCATCATTGGTATGTCGAGACATTTTGTTTTTATATGAATGGTTATATTATAAAAAATGATTTTTATAATATAACCATTTATCATAATATAACATTTTGTTTTTATATGAATGGTTATATTCATATAAAAACATGAATATAACCATTACATTTTTCAAAATAAATTGTAAAAAATGAATTTTATAATTCTTTTACTACTTTTCAACTGCTTCAGTTACTTTGTTTTGCTAAATCTGAAAATATTACATTTTGCTTTGATTTGAAAATATGTGACGGTTCTTTACTGGCTTCATTCAATAAACAAAAACTGCTTGATTTAGATTATCAAAATTGTTTAATATGAAACATCTTTAATCTCAGTTTAGATTATTCTCAGATTTTATATTTAAATTAAATTCAAAATAATGAAATTATTCTACTTTTGTAAACATTTTACATTTTTAAATTTACGAAATGAATACATTTCTCTACATTATTTATATTAATTTTTATACTTAGTAGTGGAAAATATCATGTTTGTTCTAATAAAAATTAAAATTTTACATTTCATATACAGACATTGATATCATTACTTATAGAACCAATTACATTGAACATTCTTAAAATTGAAGGAACTGTTGCAACAATTCTTAAACCTTTATTATATCGTTGTCTGCATTGGACTCTATATATTAATAGGTCTTGTGTTTCCGTTTTAGCAAATAGAGATGATTTACTCTTGCGTTTTTAATGCAATTGTGGAAATGTCTGCTCTTTATATTGGCACTTCTTTTTTGGCGGTGCTGAATCTTGTTTTCCACCTTACGTATTCTTGACTGGTAAGATTCAATTCCTTAATAATCGTTTCAATATTGGGAACAATAAATTTCGGGGTTGGTAAAGGAGCAGGAGCAAACAGTGGACCATATTTTAATGCTTCTAAGAGACACTTAGGAGGTGTGATATTATCCCATACCGTTATAAAATTGTTATTATTAAATTGAGGTTTGACGTTCTGGTAACGTAATAACCATTTGAGTTTCTTGACATACAGTAGAGCGTCGATTTTCCGAATCAATTGGGGACTAGGGTTGTTCATATAACTGATATTTCGGATAACCAATTACGTATGAAAAAATAGTTTAACGTATTCGATGTCAAAATTTTTCTCCGTTGCGTGTCACTTCGCGTTGAATTTTTGTCGATGTTAAGCCTAACAAAGACTATTGTATCGTTAAAAATTATTTTTTTATTTTGTACAAACAAAATAAATATATTGAAAATTATAAAAACAATAAAAATTATACTTCAGATGTTAATTTAGTATCAAAAACGTAAAATATTGGAGTAGTCCAAGACACAGCCAAAGATTGAAGCATTGAAGCACCACAGCACTGGCAAAAATTTAAATTTGCCGACTGGAATTCTTTTGGATGATTGACTTTCGGAAAATCGACGCTCTACTGTATTTAGATTTTACACATTTTTCCTTAACAAAATGAATAACAACCCATATGGTGTGACTTTATCATTGGAAGAGAAAAGTGACATTAACGTAAATTTTCTGGATCTGTTCATAACTTGTAAATATGGGGAAATATGGACAGATATTTATCGAAAGCCTAGCTATCTACCTATTATTATACCGAAGAATTCCTTTGATCCTCAGAATTTTAAGAATGCAGCCTCTCGATCATGGATAAAGCGGGCCTATACCCACTGTACGAGTATGGTTGGCGCACATAGAGAATTAAATAACATACGTACAATAGCTGTGCAACAGGGATATCGTATAAGTGAAATTAATGCTTTTATTGATAAATTTTCTAATCAAACAAACAAGCAACCTACAACTAAGAACCAAGGACGAAGAGTAGTTCTCAACTATATACCTTTCCTACAATC